CCTGCTTAGGGCTCTGGCCGTCCCATGGCGCAGAGCCCCCACCTCCCATGGCACGGGCTGGGTCCCCCCATCTCCTGCCTGCCCCCCCCGTCACCCTCCTGGTCCCATCCAGGGCTCCAGCGGTGACACTCACGGCAAACTCGTTGTCAGGGTCCTTGGGGCCCTTCTGGAAGGGCCGTGAGTAGCTGAAGCTCTGGATGTGGTTGGCCTTGTAGAAGCTGCCGGGAGGGGAGCGTTGGGGGTGCCCCAGAGCGGGGAGGCCCCCGCCGCCCGCCCCAGCGCGGCACCCACTTGGTGATCTGCTCCGGGATGCTCCTGTCCTTGAACCGCACCTTGGCTTCCTCCACCGGCTGCACCGTGAAGCACTGGATGTCTGCGGGAGTGAAGGAGCCGCAGGAAGCGCGGGGATGGGGATGGGGACAGGGACCATGCAGAGACGCAGATGGGGATGGGGACGGAGGCAGGGATGGGGACTGCATGGGGACGCAGGCAGGGATGGGGACGCAGACAGGGATGGGGATGCAGACAGGGATGGGGATGCAGACAGGGATGGGGACCGCATGGGGACAGCGCCGGGGAGCTGAGAGGTGACGGCCCTCCCTCCCAGCCCTCCCTCCCGGCCGCGAGGATACACTGCCCCGGCGAGGCGGTGACGTCCTGCCCGGGAGGGGACGTGCTCTTCAGCTTCTCAGCGTTGGGGAAGGGGCTGAGCAGCCGCATCTCAAAGTCCTCCCGGCGCTCGTACTCCTTGCCCCGGTAGATGAAGACCTTATTCTGCGGGGAGGGTGGTCACAGTTGCCCCATGCTGACCCTGGCAGCACCACCCCGAGGGACACCACATCCCAGACAAACCCGGGCCCTTTCGCGGGTGCAGGAGAGGAGGAGCAGCCGGGGGCAGCACCTTCCTGGCTCCCCCTCATGCCTGTATCACATCAGGGACTCGGACAGGGCACGGGGCTCCCGCGAGAGCCCTGCAGGTGCCAGGGTGCAAAGAGCGCAGCGTTGGCACCACTGCACCGGGGCGATGCAGCCGCATGGAACCAGGGACGAGGCGGCCGCGCTGGGCCCTGCTCTGGGAGCTCCTGCCCAGGGACCGTCCCCGCTCTCTGGAGCGGGGCTGGCGTCTCCCTGCTGCTGCTCACCCGCAGGAAGGTGGGGAAGCCCTGTCCGTAGTAGCCCACAGCGAAGTAGTCGGGGCTGGGTCGCAGCACCTTGAGGATCTTCTCGTAGAACTTGGCTTCCCGCTGCTGCAGGGACACAGCGGGGCTGCAGGGCAGCAGGGCTGCGCGATGGCCCCGTCCTGCCGCCCTGCCCGGCCCCGCGGCTCACCAGGATGTCACTCAGCATCTCGTAGTCGAAGATCTCGCTCTCGTACTGCTCCGCCAGCTCCTTGCAGATGTGGATGGCCTCCTCCCACATCTGCAAAACCCAGGGCAGGGCCAGGGCCCGGCGAGTCGGGAGCCGGGGCAGGGAGGGAGCACGGGCTGCTCCCAGGGGAAACCATCTGCTTCTGGGAGGGAACCCTGTGCTCCATGTGCACCCCGTTCTGCAGGCCACGCTCGCCTGCTCCCTGTGCTCCCTTCTGAGAGTGCACCCTGCTCCGCGTGTCAGGATCCATGGGCTGTGCTCACCCACCCTGCTCGCACCCTGCTCCATGTGCGTCCTGCTGCAGGGGTCATGCTCACCTCTGCATGCAGCGTCCTCTGCATACACCCTGCTCCATGTGCAACCTGCTGCACGGGTCACGCTCACCTCTACAGGTGCCCTGCTCCACATGCACCCTGCTCCACCTGCACCCCGCTCTGCATGCACCCCGCTCCGTATGCATCCTGCAGCCCCTGCTGTGCCCGCCTGCTCTGTACATGCCCTGCGCACCTTGCCCTGGTCGAAGTAGCTGATGATCTGGTTGTAGAGAGCCTCCTTCAGCTGCCGCTGGGTGTGCAAGCTGGGGCTGTGCAAGCCCTGCATGGGGGCCACGTTCGGCTCATCCGACCACTGTGCAGAGGCCATGGGACCCGTGTTACACTGAGCCGGGGACCACGTGCGCAGCGTCCCCGCGTCCCCATGCGCACCTTGAGGAGCCGCGCATGCAGCAGCAGCGTGTAAGCTCCCTCGGTGTAGTTCTCGTAGCTCACGTGCAGGTCCTTGAGCTTGTAGAGGTACCTGCAGGTGCAGGCAGGTGGTGCAGGGGACCCCGAGCCGGCGGTGCCGGCGGGCGCCCGGGCTGCCATGGGACGTGTGGGGCTGCCTCACCTGATGTACATGGCCTGGCGGTCGATCTCCTTGTAGAAGTTCTGGGGGGAGCAGAGGGGGATCAGAGGGTCTGGGGATGCGGTTCGGGGATGAGGGCGCTGCGGGACCCGTCCCGGCGTGGGGACGGGGTCACCCTTGGCAGTGGGTCCTGCAGGAGCCCCCACAGACCAGGAGCGGCTCCGTGGAGCCTCCACAGGACAGGGAGGGCTGGTGCCTCTAGCACCAGTCCTTGGGGATGCTCTGGGACATGGGACACTGTGGGATCCGGGGGACACAGGGCACCGTGGACCCAGGGACAGGACTCTGCTGCATTAGGACCCCGGGGTGTCTGGGGCGCGTGGGGCCGCGCGGGGCCTGGGGCAGAGCAGGGACCCACCAGGAGGTTGACGGTGCAGCTCATGCTGTAGGTTTTGTTCTCGTCGTTCATCACGGCCCGGTAGTCGAGGAGCCGCTCCCGGAGCCCCGT